GTAACGTCATGCAGTTAGAGACTAAAGCTGATACTTAAAAACTGAAAACGGCTACGTAAAAGTATATTTTGTATGTATTGAACTGAATAGAATAACGCCTTTCCTCAGACACCTAAGCTGTGTAGCAAATTCGTTAAAAGTGCCATGAAAGAGCCTGTGAATTTTATATGGCAATTATAATAATTTTAGTACGCGCAACGGATTCCCTAGGAATGGCACATATCAAATAGTCTTTTTGCGAAACCTGTCAATGAACGAATACTACTCCTAAGCTTAGTACACCAAATGCCATGTGAAATAACCAATTATTTCTAATATCATTAGACATTACAGGGCTGTATCGGTACCTCCCGTAGTCTCGATTTCGTGCGGTTAATGGCCATTGACTCATAGCACGACATCAACTAGTTCGGCATCGGTGGAACTACTGCAGAACTCGATTTCCTAATTCTCTTGCTATTTTTTCTACAGTTCCTTTCTTGCTTGTTATTTAAATCGTACTTCCTTTTCAAGCAGTACACCACAACATCCAAAAAACGCTGCTGTTACTAATTCGTCGCCATCTACTTCCCCTCTGACTGATCACCTTGAACCCTTCTTAACGCTGACCCGATCACAAGCTTAACTTCTGCTACCAGATGTAGCTTTTTGCAAGCTTTCCTTCTTCCGATTCTACCTAATACCGTGTTCGTTTTAGTCCCAAGTACACTGAATGAAAGTGGGGTTCGACATCTGTGGTCTTCAGGTAAATTCTGTCTCCTGCACAGCGATAGGAAAAACGCACACTAGTAACCACTAAAGAACTCATTGGTAGCATTAGTCTTAGCTAGGACATTGCTGCTACTAGCCGTATGGCGAGCCGGCTGCTGATGTTTCGGTTCCACTACCTCCTGGTGATATCCGTTGTGAGCCACACGCTTCCAAAGCCTTACGGTGGCAGCCCTCATGTTTTTCTTCACACCGACTGCGGTCGTTCGCTCATATTGCGTCGGGCGACCTAAAAGGCCGCTCCTTGTTGCCACTGTGGGATTATTATGTTACAATTATTTACTGCCTTATAAGTTGCCCGCTCTTTTTTCTGGAGACAGAGAGAGAGAGATTTCTCTAGACAAGAATGGCGCTAGAGCGTGAGAGAAACCGAAGTTAATTAATGAAATGCTTTTATTGATTCTTCGAAACAGAAACGATTGGCCTGAGCCTCCGTCAAGGACTAGATCTAAGTTCGACTTTTTTCGCTTAGTTTCGTACTTGTCGTTTGAGGAATCTGCGGACTCCTCCGTACGGTTCTGTGCTGAGATAGAAGTGCAGTTCAGCTAATCGTACCATACGCGGAATAAGTTTAGTAGGCTGGTGCAACGTAAACATAACCCTGCCTCCCCAAACACAGGCCGGAGTCCTTGAGAATATGTCACTTCATCAGAGTGGCTGTGCTGCGCTGCGACCATTTTAGGTAGCAAAAAGAACATGAGCTCGCTATGCGAGTTTCCGCTGTTGCAATAGACCTGAGTATCCTGCAGCTCTTTAAGCAAGTTGCGGTGAGAGCAAACGGTTACTAAAAGGTGGGGGCAGGATGGGCTTACAGAGAAACCTATTTTTCATACACCGTTTCAATCGAAGATCACTGCACGTTGCTTTAGTCAACTATTATTGGCAGAGATTAACGTTCAGTACGCCCAAATCACCTGGTAAACCTATTTTTCAATAGGAATGGCTCAGAGTCTCAACCGTGCCAATCCGATCCTCGTGGCTCGTCCCGCATCCATTAACATGCTGCACGTCCATAACGGTTGAGCACGGATTCCTATATCGGCCAGTCAGAGTAGAATGGTCGAAATATCTTTAAGAGCGCGAGCGGTGAGCAGCCAATCTAATGTGGCAAAAATCGTCGCCGAATGTTCACTCTTTGAATAAGTCTCAGTGATGAAAGCGCGGGAAAGAAATGAACCGGCTATTTATAACGCCTCACGGCGTGCAGGGAGGATAAATAGAATGGAGATGGCCATATTGTGATTAAACATCCAATTTTAGCCACGAATCTCAATTGTTTAGATGGTGATGAACTCATCTGCCAAACTCATCTATTCGGATTTACATTTGATGGATGGATATCGCTCGACTTCGCCGTATAGTTGTCTCGTTGCTTGAACGTGCTACCCCTTTACGCTTCCCCCTGCTTATTGTTTTTAAGGCGGAACCTGGGCCTTAGTCTATTCGATAGCAGATTTTACGGATGGACATCTTTTCCAGAGATCAAAATTTATCAAAACTTTCTCGTCCAGACAAAGCGCCATAATACATTTGTTTCTGCATTATCACTTTGGGGAACAGACGGTTGATTTATAACTGCTGGATGCTTCGCTCATGTGGCTTCGTCTCATAAGAATGATGATAATCTTAATGACGATCATTGCTTGGAATCTTCATTGTTTTC